GGAGTTGTCAATTGAGTGAACCCAGATGGCGTTGCCGGTGTCATCGAAAGAGTATATCATGGTTCCAGCGGGGTTGAAGGCGAGGCCGTGAACTCCAGAAGACGTCGAGTAGTTGTACTCTTGAATTGACTCCGTGAGAACTCCATCTGTCACTGACATCACTGTTCCACACGCGCCGAACGGCGTTCCGTAGACTGCATATGGAGAGACGGTTGAAGGAGTCACGAAGATGGAACGCTCGGTACAGTCTCCTCCGGCCGTGATGATCGTTCCCGCGCCAATTGAGAGGTCGTCTTCAATAGCATAGCTGACATATTGGCTGTTGCCGCTGTCTTCGAAAGAGTTGCCATACAGGTTTTGCTTGTCGTACTGCATGATGTCAGCGATCATCTTCGAATAAGTGATGCTGGGTCCAAGGGAGGGTCACTTACGCTCAAAGCAATCCATGAGCTGCTGGTGTTTACTGAGGTGTTCGCACTGAGAACCAGTGTCTTGGCAGCATCTTCGAAGGTAAGAGTGTAGATGTATGGTGTTCCGAACGTCCCAACTAGAAGCTGATGGCTGAGTGCTGAGATGCAGGGCGCGAAGCCGGACAGCAGCAGCGCAAGAGATTGAGAAACCATGATTGATGGAGAAGAGAGATGAAAATGTCGAAAGTGGTATTGAAGAGAACAAAGTGGACCGCTGGCGGCTGAGGCTACAGAAGCTAAATCGATAGTTTGAGCTTGACTTCTACCTTATTTATTCTTCTCGAAGCATGCGTAGAACACAATTGATGCAATTTTTGGATTGCGAACTCTCCCAAAATCTCATCTCGCCTAGACTTGTTTCTTGGCGTACGCGTTGCTGTCGTTGACAGTGGGGGAGTTTCTGACGATCGTCAGGGTTCTAGGGGTAAATTTTCCGCTGTGAAGCATTGTTTCATCTCGATTTGATGGGGGTTTACCCCGGGAAGGGAGTGTCGAAACATCGCGGAAGAGTGGTGCTGGGCTGCCGGCATGTGGGGGTCGCCAGGGGCAGACGCAATCGCTTCTCCACCATGGGATGACTGGCGTGCTCGTCTTTGGATGGCATCTGGTGCCGAGCGGCCGTGGATGCAATTAGAATTAAACACTTTGACGGTCACGATGTAACCCCAGTGGACTCTATATATCCCCCGAGGCCATAATAGTTGAGACGGGAGCGATGGATCGACGGTTATTTTGGAACGGCCCTTTGCGAAGGGGGAAACATACGATGAACGCCTGGCGTGTCCGAGCTCGTGGGGATGTCACGTTGAGTACGACGCCTTTGGCCTGAATCGCGATTGTTGAAAAGGCAATGAGGTTTACTTGGAGGCTGGATGCTGACGACGTCTCTATTTCACTGAGGTAAACTCCAGACGAAGTTCAGTCACGATGGCTCTTGGCTCAGTCCCTTGTTTCAGGCGGGCGTTGTCACATTCCTTTTGGTAGAGCTGGGAGCCTTGTGCTGATCGCTTCCATATCAAGCCATATGTATCGACTTGCTTTCAATGTCATGTTTTGCTCTCTTGGTCCAACGATGTTGGGTTGGCGCGACGAGATGCGGTTATCACGGCATGCCGAGGGGTTCGCGCTCAATTCCTACATGACGTACCCATCCTGCTTCAAAGTGTGCCTTTGAAGTCATTAGTTGCTGCCGAGCGATGATGCCTAGACAAGCGCGCCGACCTAGCAGTCGCGTCTTGGCGCTACCTACATGACAGCAAGGATCGCGGGGAAACAGGCAAACAGGCAGTGTTACCTAGGGAGCTAGCAAATGCAGGTAACTTCGCTTATTGGTATGCTGCATCACTAGGTCTGATATCTTCCTCTCCCCAATGGACGCAGTTACTGCTGCTGTATCGTGACGTCAGCTTAGCTGCTTCCTGCCAAGGCGCCGACACGAAAGAATAGAGTGAACGAATTGTCCTTGAAGAGCAAGACACATTCCTGAGAGTGCGTTTCCCTTATTTCTCGGTGATTCTGTCCCGTTGTCTCGACGCGCTTCCTGTGAGCATTGAGATTGTTTCTCAAAATGGAGGGAATTCTTTCGCCACTCGGTATATCCTACGAACATGGGATGACCAACACCCCTGCTCTTCCCCACGGGGCATCAGAGTTCGTCGTCCAGCATCCGCCGCTTTGGCCGCAACATCGCAGGCTTCAGGGCACGACAATTGCTTTGAGTGTCATGATTCTGATAGCCTGTGGTGTCAAACTATTCAGCACATCGCAGAAACGCAACTGGAAAGCCAAAGCGGGCGGGTTGCGCAAGACGGAGGCGGCGAGGTCCAAGTCATGGCTTTGGGTACTCGAAAGGCTCTATGTAACGTAAGTCCAGGGAAGTTTTGGAGGACGCATTTAGAGACTGATCATTTTGCGTCTATTAATGGAGAGTCATTGACGAATCGACAGTGACATTCTCATCTCCATCGCTAGAGCGTCGTTCATAATGTGGATGAGCCAACGACCGAACGTGACTGTGAAATGGAGCGAAGGAACCTACGCGGCGCTTGCTTCTGTTGATGGGTTCTTTCTCTGCCTTACTCAAATTGGAATTGTCTTCATTCTATCCGAGTTCGATGTGCTCTTTTGGGGTCAGCCCAGTCAACGAGTTGAGGGCCACGGCCTGTGGTACATCCTCCCACGAATTTGCAATTTCTTCGGTTGGATAATGGCTTTTGGGTTGACTTCCATACAAATTTCTGTTTCAATTGTCAAGCAATACGGTACTTCTGGTCTCCCATGGTCGGAACAACTCCAGAGTTTCGGGATAGCCCAGGATGCTGTGATACTGGACGTCTTGAAGATCCTCCTCTTTCTCGTCGGATTTCTGGTGTTAGCGCCATACTATGTTGTGGTAAGTCACCAAAGCATTTGCAACACCCTCCATGAAGAGGTCGCTGACGTACGGAGTAGGGTGGCCCCTGGCTATGGGCCAACCTGATCACAACCATAACAATATGGACATGGCGACTTGCGAGGGTGGTCGAGAAAAGAGGACAGGATGAGACATCACAGCTGGTAACTTCTCTTGTTGTGGATTTCTTCTTCTCGCGCATACCTACACTCTTCACTTTGGCCATGTTCTCTCGCATTTTATCGCAAAGGCGCTAAGAGTATTGTTGCTAGCCAGCCTACCAGCCCGGGTAACATCTATGGAGTGGAAACCTCATGGGGGAGTATTCACGATGCGAAGGAAAGTGTAATGAAAAATAGATTGCGTCTAGTTGGTCAGTAGCAGTAGATAAGGTTCATAGGAATTTTCAAGTAAACAATAGTAGGGTGACTCGTTTACTCAGTTGATTAACTTGACGAGAGTATTTAGATTTGCGTTGCACTGAAGGATCCATTGAGCTCAGCCCCAGCCGTTCTCCATCTGAAAGCGACGTGACCCATTAATCGACAACGATCCAGGCTAAATAGTGAGCAATATTAAGACCTTGGCTATTTGCCCAATCTCCCCGCCATGTAGTCCCCATACAAATCTGGCAAAAATGAGGCCAAGTTGGTAAACTCGGTCTGGTCGTGAATAAAATGCTCATAGGCAATATTCTCTCCAGCCATGCGCTTCTTGAAACCGAGAGCTCCCGCCAAATAGTCAATGCCGACCTTCATCCCCATAACCTTGTAGTGAACTCCCCCACCAAGCCAGTACCGGCTTCGCAGCTCAAGCCCATCCTCCGTCTTACGCCAGAGGTGCAAGAAGTCACCAATCTTAAGGTTCGGCAGCAACCCGTCCCGCAGCTCCGCACACACAGCCGCCTCATAGCCCGCGGCCTTGAGCTTATCCCACGGCAGGCCGTACTGCGCCGGGTCCACGAAGTGGATGTGGACGGTCATCTTCTGAGACCCGATGAACTCCGTTACACGGTGCGTGGACCCGAGCCACTTTTGCGTGTGGGATAGGTCAGTGCGGTGCAGGCGGTCCGCGTAAGTCGAGCGAGCGCTCAGGTGGTCGTAGGGGAACCAGAGGGCGTAGCGCTCGGGCTCGACGCTGTGCCACCAGAACCACCAGCGCACCATGTCTCCTGTCGATCCTGGGAAGCGGGTGCGAGACGTGACGTACGCGGTGCCGTCTGGGAGCATCCGCCAGCCGTTCTCGTGTTTGTGGTAGCCGGGCTCCAAGAGTCGAGGAGAGTCGCCGATGGGGAGAACGCCTTCAGCGGGCATTTGCTCGCGGATGTACTGCGGAATGTCGGCGTAGAGGTAGAGCTCTCGATGGCAGTACTTGGCGTAGAGCTTGTCCTTCATCCTGTTCTCATTATGGCGGTAGGCTTTCTGGGTGTTGAGAGGGTAGTATGTGATTGGCACCTTTTCGGGGTATCCATTGGCGTCTGGGTTTTGCATAATGTTCCCTGTCTGAGCGTCCGTTGGTGATGATGGTGCTGATAGTTGACCCGATATCGCTGACAAGCGCGATGCTGTTCGTTGGCGTAATTGCCCAGAGTCCATGGTTAAATGATGAATTAAATAAATACGTGATCTCGTGCCGTGGTATGAAATCTAGGAACGGAATGAGTATGAGAAAACTTGAGTTTTATTAGTGCTTGAGAATGCCGAATGTTCGAACGTGCGGAGGTGGTCAATGGCATGGCCTGCGTCGGATGCGGGATCGGCCGAGGTTCACATGTGGTCCGAAGATCAACAGATGATTGGAAAACGGTCGCGCAGCGGATTTACGGTGGTCGGAACAAACTTCTGCACCGCGCGCGGGATTTCGGCAAGTGATGAAGACTCCGGTCCGTAGAGAATAGATCGTTGACACAGCTTCACTTAGACTTCAGCGACTGTATAATGCAGACATTGCAGTCTTCCACTAGGTAGGCAATTTTGGACCCGATACCTTGGGTACCTCAGAACAACATTATGGGTCCAAAAGTTGAATTCAAGCCAGGTAGTAACCAGTCTTCCCAGCAAAGTACTAAACTAAGGCCGTTGGAAACGCAGAGTCGATCTGAAAAGGCCCTTCAAATTCGCCCGATCTGTCCTCTGTCATCACTGGGGTTTCGGGTCACCGTCGTCCGCCTCGGGAATGAACCAGTTATCCAAGGCGAACTCAACCAAGGCCAATGCGACATAAGCAGCTCCCCACATAAGCTCGTTGTCTTGGGTCTCCTTCTGTGGGTGGTCCAGAAGATCATGTCCCGGACCGCTTCCGCCATCTTTAGGGGCTTGTGGGCCTGCGATGTCCCCGTCTAAAGCCTCTGGCATCTCAGCCGGGAGAGGGTAGAAGGGCAAAGCATCGATACTCGGAGGAATATGAACGTCTCCATCGTCCAAAAAACCAGACTTCAGGAGTTGCATAGCCCACCAGTAGGGCGCATACCCTTCGCCGCCGGGTAGTTGTGGGTCTGTTATGCTGCTCTGATGCAAGACGTTGAACATGAGCCACAAAGCTCGGATGACACTCTCCAAGGCTCCTACAACCCAGGCATGGTGAGCAGACGCTGCTTCTCCGACGAAGAATAGCTGCCCAGAGGCGTTGGGTTTGGTGATAGCTGGGTAAAGCTTGCTAAATTGGCATGGACCAAAATACGCAAAAGCGCCTGCCATGTGCGGGTCGTGATACCAGTCGTAGGCGTGATGCTCGACATACTCTCCCTTGATGAGGTCAAGGGCCTTCCTGAAACTCTTCTTGCTGCTCGGGTTATCGGCGTGGAGGTAGGCAAGATCGCGTAGAAGGACGTCCTTCAGCTCGGCCTCTTCTTTCAAGATCTCTTCGTTACTCTTTTGTGATTTCGAGGCCATGAGAGTGGCAAGACGTTGGGCCGTCTGACCCCAGGTGTAGGAAACCAGAAGTACTGCAGGCTTGTCGATGGGGTCCAAGTCATTATCGATGTTGTATGATGGGTAGACACAAACTTGTAGAGGAAGATCCGTGCGAGCCAATCCGCCTTGGTCAATGTTGAAGGGCTCTTTGCGCCACCATGCGGTCTTGAACTTGATGCCAACTTTGGTGGAGGCCCCATAGTTGAGGCAGCGGATGGCTTGTTTTGTATCCCAGAGAAGGCCGGCGTTCGAGAGATCCATTCGGTTTGTGGCACCTAGGGTGGCGGAGTTGAACACGGTGAAGTACCTCTTGGGTTCCAACGTCTCGTCGTTAGTAGTGTCCTTGATGTTCAGCTGCATTTCCTTTCGGACACGCTCGTTGAGCTCAACATTTGCGTCCATACCGACGACCTGGGTATTGTACTTGATGACCGACAGATCCTTCAGCCTCTTGCGCATTGTCTCAGCAATCTTCTGAGCACCTCCGTCCATACACCACCAGTAATCGTTGGTGTTAGCAGGATCAGTCGCAGGTACGTCGAAGTCTAAAGTTTCCAAGACAGCTTCAGTCAAGCTTTGGTCATACCAGCCGGTGCCACTGAAGAATTTAGTCAGAGACGTGCGGAGGAGGTGAACTGTCTTGGATCTTACTATGTGGCTGTCTCGAGCCATTGAATGGTGTTGTAGCTGTGCTTAGGTCCACGAGGTATGCCATCAGGGTTATGGTCACTGCCTACTGTCAGTAAAGCGTCTGGCTATTTTGTGTCTTGAGTGAAAAGGCTTACGAGAGTAGAAATTGCCGAACACTCATCTGGTCCGCTTTCATGAGAAGACTCCAAAGCTCCTTGTCCTCCTTCTCGTTCCGTGGTCGTTCCCCACCATCTGCGTTTTTTGGATGGAACTTTTCCTTGACTGTGTCGAGGAAGCCCTGAATTGCCTTCTGGAATATCTTGCTTGGGTCTTCTTTCAGAAGTCTGAAGTCGAAATTAGCTGGATTATCACAGTCACGCTCCCAGGGATCGCTGATGAAACTTACTCCGGGGGGATCTGCTGGTCCTTGGAAATTCCATGGTTGAGCTTGTATGGGTCAACCTCGTCTTTTTCCCAGACCCTTCCGACCTTCTTCTCATTGTTGAAGTAAGACGGACAGACGTCTTTGTCATCCCGAAGATAATAAGGGATGAGAACGGGCCAATCCGTGGGGCTCGTGCGTTCCCCAAGCTTGCCATGCTTGATGTCAAGGAACTTGAAAAGACGGAAGGTCCTGATTCAGAAGGCCTAAATTAGTCTGGTTGAAGACAACGAGAAGCTATCACAAGGACGTAAGGGGAAATGGATACTCACCTATCCATGACATCGTTGGCAGGGAAGCGCATGGCGCCAACATCGTAATAGTCATGGGTGCCGTCCTTGCTGAAACGATGCGTGTACAATCGGCCCCCAAATCGGTCCTCACCAGCTGCTTCCAGAATCTCATAGTCGATCTTGAGCTTCCCGAAGCCCACGTGCTTCTGGATGGTCTCGTTGATCCAATCAAGAACGAGGCCAGTGAACAGCCCTGCCGCGCCAGCACCGACGATGCCCAACTTGAAATGACCGTGCTGAGGAGGTATCATGCTTACTGCCTGACCATTGTGCGTGAACTGATCGTAAAGACCGGTGACGGTTGTCGGGGCCTCGCCCAAGAATTGCGGAGCACGGGCATTGTCGATGAGGCCTTGGAACTTGATAGTGGCATCTTCCCTATCCTTTTCCAGCTTGCGACGCGCCACATGCCTCGCCCATTGGTACTTGTAGGAGTCGTTGCTCTGAAGGGAAGCCTTGGCACTGGCTGCTTGGGGATTATCCTCGTGTGGAGACATGCTAGTGTATGTTTGATTTCTGCAAAGAATTGAAGTAGTTGATGAGATATAGATCCTGTTTCTGACCGTGAGCTGAGTGGTCAATAGCAGGTATGCAAGCCTCAGATCAGACGAGACGGGTGAACGCCCTCTTATATATCGAGCACTACTTGCAATTGATACTGCTCACTCACTTGGGCTCGTGAAGCCGACCCTCCGTTGTTCGGTTGTGGTTATCCTCGCCATCGCCTAGCAGTACAAGATTCCTGATGGTAATGTGGGTGTCGTAAGAGTGGCATGATTTCCAAGTCGGTGTTGGTTTACGATTTGTGATGGAACTGGCATTCCTCGTGGCGAGCTGAACATATTCAGCTTCAGTCGATGATTGATGTGATGAGACTCTCAAGTCTGGTGCAAGTCATCTCCATACGCTGGCTTGGCGGTTGATCCGCAAATCAAAACGAATGGTGGATAGCTGTGGCTTTTTTTTGACGAAAAAGGCTGGCTGAATGCCTGCGTTCTATGCGCAGCATGACTGAGCTGATCGCCCGGCCTAGCTCAATCTGAGTATTTACCGCTTGAGCCATCAGCTGAGCCTGCATTTATCGGAGACTTACTGGGTATGTTTGCGGTAGAATATTTTAATCGGCAGGCATGGTGAGTGGTGCCATCTAGGGTATGGGCTATGGTGATCTAGAGCTCAGCTTTTGTCTCACTTCCCGCTTTAAAACACGCAGACGTTGAGTTAGCTTCGGGAGAGAGCTAACGTTTGCGTTGTAGGCTGTAATTGCCGACGCCTCTGCGGGGGCGAGCCGCCCGGCCCCTAACATAGTTGGCGCGCGGAGCGTCACTTCTGCTAGTTTTTGGCTGACCTGAGACGTGGCGGATAGTGAACTGATGGGATCCAGAGTGGGAATCGAGGGATTATCATATCGGCCTCCGGAATGGGATGACGGCTACGCTGGGTGGATTCCGGGGGCAATGGCACGACGGCAAATTGAGTAGAGCAACTTGGAGTCATTTCACGTAGTCTTGAATGGCAGAAGATGCACCACTACTTCGCAAACAGATGGGAGCCGGGTAACATGTACAGGCAGTGCCTGGCAAATCTTTCCGGTTTTGCATTTAGAGTGCATGAGGCTGGTTGTGAAAGACTCGTGTGAATATACTTTCGTACCCGGATGAAGTAATGAATAAGAGGCGACAAGTCGTGGTACACGATGAGGTTAGGCTGACAGAGGCCAACACATGCAGGCAGTCGTTTACCAAGTGCGAATTATACAGGAGATACAGAACGGAAGCCGTTGAGTCCACGCATAATTATTCAATGGACTCGGCGAAAATACTTCTCTAGTCAGTCCAAAATCTACCGGGCATGTATTCTATGAGGATAGTGGGAGTAGGGGTCGCTTCAACGCCGAATAGAGGATATGAACAGAATACGATACAGGCAAGTCGGTAATATCTCCAAAACTATTTCTATGTTAATGGTCTGCTCTGTCAAGAGCCTCTCTGTGCCATTGCCTATGTCCGATAGACCTCACTGCCCTAAGTTGCGCTCATCAACTTTTCTTTCTGCGACAGACATCCGGGACACGAAGGCTGTGAAAGCTGATGATGGTGCCGGAGTATGCGCCCGCCGGAAAAGGCTCTACCGTTGAAATTGCTGCAAGCTAACTAAGAGGCCTCAGAGGATTTCCCCTTGCGTAGGGTGCTCGATATTGTCAAGTGTGGCTACACAGGGGCTCTTCTGCCACACATGCTGTTCATTGTGGATGCTGGGATGCCTGCAGGGACATTAAGAAGCAGCATATGATCGCCGTTTTCATGCGAAGGGATGGTGCTGTAAATCGAACAATACTTTCAACCATTTCTGAAGCCGAGAGAAGATATGTCCAACCGATGACTGGAAGTAACAGCAGGTCCGGGCGGCCTCTTATAACCTTTATCTCATTTGCATTGCTAACACAACCACAGGAACCTGACTCCCTGGTGTGGAGATCGAATGCGATTCCGGCCTTCGCTATTGAAGTGCGATATATTGCATCTCTTTGAATTGCCCCTACGTACGCGGATCCGGCATGGAACCATTCATAAGCTTCGCATTGATACGCATGCGCGATCAAATCTTTTGAAGCATATGCCAATGTTAACTCTGAGCCATCACCAGTTCTCACCCAAGAACTCTGTGACGCATCTTCTCGAGAACCCAGCGCCCTTCATGTTAATCTCAACCCATACGTCATAACCGGGCACTTTTAGTCATGTTGATCTTCGCCTTCTCGAGTCACTTATGGACTGTGCCATTCCTGTTGGTTCAACACCTTTTAGTTATATCCGTACATGCCAGCGACCATAATCCGACATATAGACAACACCAAGCTGACGATGAGAGCATCAAAACTTGCACGCATGCTTACACTTCCTGTCAGCAGCAAATGGTCTCGAAGATACCAAAGCTGCCCACAATTGTTCGTCAAGATCATGCTCTGACTTTATCTTGGGCTTTGTTGACCTTTCGAACCTTAGATGAGTCATGTGCTTGACACTGACTCCTCCACGACGACGTTGAAAGTACCAACGTCAAGCCCAGGAACTGGGATAATGTCCCGCAACGCCACGAAGTCAATCTCGTAAGAACAGTCTTTCAAATCCATATCCATTCGGAAACGGAAGTTGCCTCTTCCTTGGGGTCACTTGTGCCCAATGCATGAACTATGTACCAATGGTACCATTACAACGCTGCTTTCCTCCCGTGTCTCGGCGGCGCCACTTCGCTCAAGCTCGCGTATCACTACAAATATTACCTCGGCCAGTTCTGTGGGCCCGAGATCAACAAGTTCTCCGTCCTCATTCAAGCTCAAGGCCGGCATCAAGACTGTGCATGAAGTAGTCACAATCAACGATATGATCACGGTCACCATCGACCCAACCCCATCGTCATCGTTCGTCCCATCGACGAGGTCTAAAAATGAGAATACAAAGTCCGGCTCCAAGTCAAACATCATCAAGCCGACATCAACCACACAGCCGCCGCCCCCAGCTCAACCGTCAGAGGCGGTCTACATATTCTTCGACTGGGCCGTCTCGTCTGTAATCACGACCAACACATCCGGTGGGAAGTTTGTCATGGTCCCCCGCCTTACGAGCCTCGACGACAAAACAATTCACGACATTTGCAACGATGAGGCTGTCGGAAGCATGGGCGCTGGCATGAGAACGTCTCCTGATCCCCCAGGACTGCCCCCGAGTTTTCAGGCCAGCCAGGACATTTACGGAAAGAAGGGATGCAAGTACATTAGTGGGTACGAAATGAAGTCTGCCGGAAGATTTAGATGTGACAAGGTTCTTGAGTTCGAATGCATCACTGATCCTCAGGAGAATGAGCATATCAATTGTTCAAAGGCAGAGACACAAGAGAAGTTTTATGTGCCAAGGGTAAGATGTTTCTTTCCAGTTGGTGAATGAGTCACACCAGGACTTGGAGCATTTTTGACTTCTAATTTCATTATAATTATCGTGCCTATATCTTGACGCAACACAGCGACGTCTCCTATACACATTACATGAGATAGAATCTTGCGCAGCGTCTCGTCGTCCACCCAGGGCTTTTTTTTGGCGAATTCCACGCTTCATTTCTTAAGAGGAGCAAGCAAAGCTGAAGCGAACGGCCTGGTAAGTACCCCTCGAGCAGCTCGCGTAGTTCTCGCCCTCAACCACAGAAGGAACACAGGTCTGGATGGTCCTGTTCGTAGCCACGTCAACAACGGCCGTGACCTCTGGTTCGAGGGTCAGATCGATGTCGTCGTTCTCACAAGCCAACTCAAGGTTATAGTACGTCGTGTTTGTGGCGTCGTCGGTGATGTTGAAGGGGTTGCGGCAGATAGGGTCAACAACGTAGGTGTTGTAGGCACGTATGGAGGTCCAGGTGGCAGTGCCCTGAATTGCACCAGAGGTGTCGCAAACCTGCTGGATTTCGGATGTCTTGGTGGGGGTGAAAGGAGACCAGGCAATAAAGAGGTTCCCGTGGGGGAACGAGAAGTAGCCTAGGTTGATGGGAGGGTAGGAGGTGTTCAGGGCCGAGGCGAGGGCCACGAAAGAGGCGCCGGCGAGGGTGACGAGCTGCATTTTGATGGTGTTTGGTGAGATATCGGCCGGTATCAACGAGAGGGTTGTGAAGGTCTTGGTGATAAGAGGCGTTGAGACCGAGTTGTTGATCGTTGTTCACCTGGCACTTGATTGTTTAAATACTTGCAAAATTTTAGATCTGACCTGGCGTCGATTTTGCAGATGTTCGCCCCCAGGGCCGTTCCTAGCGTGGTGTTAGCGGTGTATGGTGGTTCCTTTCCGCCTCCTTTCCGTGCAGCTGTCGATGGGCTGAACAGGGGTAGGTACCGGTCAGAACCATATCACTGGCCGCCTCGGATAAGGTATGCTGGCGTTGGATTTCCATCCTCGCTAGCTTGGGAAAGTACGAAAGGGCTATCTCGCTAATGCCCGAGAGGCTTGTCACAGTCGATAAATGTCAACGTTGCGTGCCGATTCGATTCTTCCATCCATTGTTTGTTGGCAGAGCAGACCGTTGCGCTACACAAGCTTCGTAACGGCAGTTTACGCTATCCAGATGTGGCACAGCGCGGCAATTACCCTGCTTTTCCAAGAGCTCTAAAACCAGCTTGACCAAATACGAGCAGCTGGATGCCAGGGCGCCTAGGCTGCCGTTGTCCTGTGGGGGCAGCATGCAATCCTTCTCGTGTTGAATTGCTGGCGGCCCACTGAAATCACCTTTCTTTTTCTGATCAATCATCGGCCAGCAAAGCCATGCTCCACCAAAACCCGATCGAAGCGCCGAGGCGGCCGCCCCGTGGATATGAGAGCCGATAAGCCGATGGAAACAGAGGCATCGTCAGGGTCCAAGAAACAGCTGAATGATGATGCGATTGTTGATATGAGAGAGGATAGCATTCAAGAAGCCTACTGACGTAATCAAATGACCCTGAACATATTCGACTTAACTCCCCTCTTCAAGCCCTCCGCCTTTCCATTCTCATACTCAACTCCAGCAGCGCCACCCTCACCGGACATGCCCTCAAGCTTCAGTCGCAGCTCTTCATCCAACTCTGCCATTGTCTTCTTTCCCTTGACCGTTATTTCTCGCATTTCCTGCGGTCGCTGAGATAATTCAGATGGAGGGGTGTTTTGGCTTTTGTGAGTTGTCGCGGCGGTGGACAAGTGGGCTGACGCGACAGGAGCTGTTGACGCGACTGAGCATCGTCTTGCTGCGGCACGGAGACAGCCAGGTGACGCTTTTGACAACAATGCACTCATAATGATGAGAATTCTGGGTGGCAGATGACTTTTTGGGGCTCTTTCCAAGTTGCCTCTTTTCAAGTTGTCTGATGGTGCTGATGATGATAGGTTTTAGGTTCGGCGATGAATTTATTCATCTTGTGGTGATATCATCATTCCACAATTAATGTTTCCCGGGTGGTCTGTGCTTTTTGCTTGAGAAGGCAGCCATAAACAAGGGTTGCCGAACATCGTGGCCACACGAAGGATAGAAGCATCCCAGCTCTTCTGTGTAGAGCAAGCCAAAACCTCCTCTTCTCTTCTTACGACAAGAACTCCGCACCGTAGATTTGCGTCTTCATCGATGGAAGCCCCAGCTGCCTCCGAATACGTAGACGTTCTCTTTTTCAACCAGACTGCGACCTGGGCCTGAATGAGTCAGTGCGTGCTGGATCACTTCAGTAAATTTGAGATTCAAGCTGCAGGCAGCGCAATAGCGAGGGACTTTGGTGATGATGCACCTCATTGATCAGCGAGGCCCTACCCACTGAGTAATTTTCCGACTCTACCACCTAGGCAATCATCTTGTAGCTCTCAGCTCACGCTGATCAAACCGCCCTGACTGTGGCGGTGTCGCTGTCCCTTAGTGTTGGTCTCACAGGACTAGCTAGCTGGTAAGGGTCACTGTGGGCAGTAAATATCGTATTATATTGACTGCGTTAGTGGTGATATGTATGTGGTTAACTGCGTTAGAGGTAGCGGCTACGATCGCGGCGTTAATCACAGAGGGCAGTGCCTTACATAATCGCTAATTATATAAGGCGTACCTAGCTTAATTAACGTTATAATAGGCTAGTATTACTAACACTAGTAACTTTCTCTTTTTACTAGCGTTAATATAGTTAATAGTAACTATAGTATAGTTTAAAAAAAAGTTATTAAATAATATATAATATAAAAAGTAATAATTATTAGTAATTATAGTAATTACTTATAACCCCTACTATAGTAGTTACTCTATAACTATTATTTAATCCTACCTTAAGCTAGTACTAGTAATTAGTACTACTTAGGTTTATATAACTTATCCCTCTATTTATATTATTATAAAGTTTATATTAAGGAAGTATATAAAGTATTAATTAAACTTTACTTTAGTAAAGGTATTAGTGAGGTTATTATTACTATTAATCTATTATATTTTATATAGTTTATAGTATTTATATAACTACTATAGAGCTATAATATTAATTATTAAACACTTCTCCTTTATAAAACCTAACTTAATAAAGTATTTATATAGTAAATATAAGTTAGTATAGATAATAGTAGGTATTAGAAGTAAGCTAAGCTATTTAGTAATTATTTAGAGAGTTATAGAGATAGTATAAGCTATATTAATATTAGTAACTATACTATAGACTTTAGAGGCTAGTATACTTTAAGTAACTTATTTACTCTTTATTAAACTAAAGTAGATAATATTACTATTAATTATAAATTTATTCTTATTAGAAGGGGTTTTATTAGTGAGAATAATAGTAAAACTAAGCTATAATATAAGGTTAGTGTTATTAGTGAATAAGCTATTAATAAAGATAAGGAGTTTAATAGTTAATAAGTTAATAGGTATAAATATTAATCCTTATACTAGTAAATCTATTTACTACTATAGTTATATATTAAAGGCCTTAATATTATTAGGTAAGGGGTTTTAATACTAAGTAGTAGTTAAAAGATTATAATATACTTTAGGCTAGTAAATTAATATAATATATATACTATATATATATTATTTAATATATTACTTCTTAATAGTATTAGGGGTAGTATTAGCGTTAATAAAGGTAAGCTTCTTACTTTAGCCCTTTTAGTAGAGAATAATTATACCTAACTTATTAATACTAATAATACTACTATTAAATATTAGTAGTTAGTTAATAATAAGTTATTACTTAGCTTTTACTATAAATAAAGCTTTAGTTAGAGCTTTATCTTTATAAACTAAGAATTTAGTATTAATAAAGCTTAAAGTATTATTAGTTTATATATTAATAACTATAAAGTTAGGGTTAACTATTAAAAGGACTAAAAAGTAGGAGTTATAGTTTAAAGTAACTATCTAGAGAACTTCTCTATAGTAATAGCTATATATAGCTTATTAATAAGTACTAGCTTTAGTAATACTATAGAGTAGCTTAATAACTCTTATAATAATACCTTCTAGGTATTAGTTATAAATCTAGATAAGTAAGTATATTAGAATTATTCTATTAAGCTTTATTATTAATTAGATATATACCTATATTATATTATAAAACTAGAGGATCTTATTAGAAAGTAGTAACTATAATGTAATAGTAAGGATAAAGTATTAGCTTATATACTATATTATTAGTAATTATATTAAGATTACTTCTATACTATTATTAGTATATCCTTAGATAATAAAGTAGGACTTCTTATAAAGTTTATTAGTATTCTTACTTTTAATCTTATTAACTATTTATAATTAGAAGATATAGATATTTATATACTTAATAGGGTTATATATAATTATCTTAAAAATACCTTAATTAATAAGTCTTTTAACTTTAGCTTTATTAAATTACTTAAAGGGGTAACTAAGTATATTAATCTTACCTACCTTATAGAACTATATAGCTAAGTTAAGGTTAGTATATTCTTTATTAATTAAAAAGACTTTATTAGTAGTAAAAAATATAGTAGTAGTATTAATATTATTAACTTTTAATATAAAGTTAATATTAAAGGTAAGGTTAATATTAACTATTTTTATTATAAATATCTATTTTTATAAACTTTAGCGTAGCTTACTTAGAGGTAGCTTTAGGCATTCTTCTCTCTTATAAAGCTAGCTATATTAGTATAGTAGTAATAGTATTAGCGCTAATAATCTTTCTTAGTCTTTTTTTACTAGTGTTATTAGTACTTTAGAGGTATTTAGTAGAGAGTTAGTATTAATAATATCTTTATCTAAGTTATTAGAAAAAAGCTTAATATAGGTTAATTAAAACGTTCTTAGTCTATAAAGTAAGTTAAATATATAGTCCTCCTTATTAATAGAAAGAAGCTTATATAGGCTAGCTTAGCTCTTATTCTTATACTATATAAGAATATCTAACTATAGTAGGAGGGTAAATATTAATAATATATTTAAGCTATTATAGAGGGTAAGGGTATTAGAGACTTATTACTTAGTATATATATAGTAGAGTTTATTAGTAGCTTTTTATATAGCTTCTTAATACTTTATAATACTTAGAGATAGTATTAAATCCTTAATTACTTAAAAGTAGATACTAAAGATAAATAGGGTTAGGATCAAACTATTAAGCCTAATAGTGTTATTAATAGTCTTAATAGTTATCTATAAAGCTTACTTATAAGGGATAGAAGGGTCTTTAGTATAGATAATATTATAGGTATAGTATAGAGTAATATAATAATATTTAACCTTACTAATACTATAGTAAGTTTTAATAAGGACTTCTTTAATAGTAATTACTAAGGTATAAGTAATATACTTAAATTTATAACTATAGAAGTTAATACTAGTATCTATAGTAATAAAGTTAGGAGGGCTTTAGTAGATATTAATCTAATATATATATAGAGCCTCTTAAGTATATTAAGCTAATAGATCTTTAAGGAAATAGGCTATATTAAAGCTAGTAGTACTATTAATAATATAGAGTATTAGCTTATTACTATTAAGATATATAATATCTATAAAGATCTTATAGTTAAATTTATAGTTATTATATAGAGTGAATCTAAACCTTTTAGGTTAACTAGTATAGAGTTAATAGTACTAGTAGACCTTAGTTAGATAGATAAAGAGGCTTTTATTAACCTTATACTTAGCCTTAGTAAGGATATATTAGAGTCTAGTAACTAATAAGTAGCTAAAATAGTAGTAGAGTTATTAAAGTTTAACCTTATTAAAGTAGTAGTAAGTAACTAACTATTCCTATTAGAGAAGTATCTAGAGATACCTCTATTTATAGATAACTAGAACTTTAAGGTCTCTCTACTTTATAATATTATTAAAGTTATTAAATATAACTTCTATCTTATCTATATTATAAAGGTAATATAGGAAAGGTATATTTATTAATATAATATAAAAGGTAATAAAACTAAATAGTATAAGGACTTTAATAGATCCTAAAGAGTAGATAAAGTTACTAGGGCTAAATCTAATAGTAACTACTCTTATAGTATTAACTTTAAGGTTTAGTATTAATTATTAAAATATAAAGACCTAAGGCTAGCCTACTATTAAATATTTAGAGGTACTAATATTAAGTAGGATACCTTAGAAGATTATTAATCTATACCTTCCCTTAAGAGAGAACTATAAAGTATATTCTTTAAACTTAATTATAATATATAAATCCTACTTAATAATAGTATAGAAGGTAGTATTATTACTTAACGCATTAATAACTTTAAAGCTATTAAAAATAATACTAATAAAGTAAGAGGTAAGAAATTATTAATTTTTATTATTTAAGCTATCTAACTTATACTAGCTATCTTTAGTATTAGAGTTATTAATATTAAGAGTACTAAAGTAGTTTAATATATCCTTATTATAGCTATTAATAGGAAGGTTATTAATACCTTTAATACCTTTATACTATACTAAAAAGTAATTAAAGGTAGGGGTAGAGGTATCCTTATTAATATATATTTACTTAAAGTAGTTAAAAGCTTTATAGTGATCTTTAGTAGGGTACTTTATTAACTAGTAACCTATCTTACTATAAATATAGTACTTCTTTTTAGATTTAGGAAGTATAGGTTAAGGGTAATATTAATTATAAAGTATATATAGGTAATAACTAAATTAAGAACTATAACTATAACTATTATATTAATAATTAGTTTAGTATTAGTTATTAATAGAAGCTAGATTTATTATGAAATACTTATAAGCCTAGTTTTATATTATAATACTAATAGATAATTAAAACTAATTAGTAATACTTTTATAGTCTTCAGTAGGGCTT